TTGTATTGGCTTTCCCACGGACTCAATGTGATCTTGGATCACTAAAATATAAATGAAGAGTCTTGAGCTTTTGCCAATCTTTGTCCTTAGCATTTTCAAGGGGTTCCACATCCTCTTGTCCTTACCACGCCATTGTTGAACTCATCTGAAATATACTAGATAAAAGTATTAGTCCAACAAGAGCTATGTTGAAATTAATTACCAAAATCACCCAGGAGCACTTGTGCTTTCAGCTTCACATCCTACTTGTGTAGATGCCCAGGAGAAGATAGAGAAGGCAAAGGCTGCAAAAGCAGCAAAGGCACCAAGTGCCCCAGATGCTTCAGTTGCTAATCTCAATACCAAGCAATATCAACTCAGTTATCTTCTTGAGGCCACTGTGAGGATTGAGAAGAGCTTAGCCACGTTGACTCAGAATCGGGAAAGTCTTGAGCGGATCACTAAGACTAAGCTTGATCCTTATGTGAAGGTCACTGAGATTCAAACCACTTTGGAGAAGCTTCAAGAGGATGCTGAAGACATGGATGATAGATACACGTCAGACACATTCTAGAGAGTGCCAAGGGCACCAAGATCATCAGCCGTGCCAGTTGCCAGAGATTCCAGGACTACACTTTCAGCACCTGCAGCCACTGCCATAGTTGTACCTCCAGTATCAAATCCTCTAGCTCCACAGACTTTTGCAGAGGCATTTGCAGATGGACTCCTCTCCATGTTGTCTACGCACACCGGAGCAACAAGCCGGAAGACCCCTTCAGGAGCTCCCGGAGATCGTGCTTAGAGTGTCGCATAGTATTATATGTTTTCAAACTTTTTGGTAACTTGTTGCCAAAGGGGGAGAAAGTGTATAGATCATAGGCTGGGAGAGAGAGAGAGAGAGAGAGAGACTCCTGCTTTTTGTTGGTTTCATTTGCCACTCTTGCTACTTTAGTCCTTTGGTTGTTTGATTCCTATGCTACTATTTGTGTTATGCTCGTGAGATACTTATGTGATCATGTGTTTGATCATACTATGCTTAATGTGTGCTTACATATCTATCTCTATGACTATTTGTGTATGATCAATCACTTGTATCTTTGGTGATGGGTGCAAGTTATTCAATTCTTATCATTTTGAGCGCTCCATCAAGATGTATGTGACATGGAAGAGTGACCCATGATCCTAACCGATTGTGCATTTGCATTCAAACACAAATTTTAAATAATGCACAAATTTAGGGGGAGCTCTTGCTTATCACATACTTCTCAAAGCGATGATGTATTTCATTCATATTATCATTTGTCGAAGCTTTGATCTATATGTTGTCATCAATTACCAAAAAGGGGGAGATTGAAAGTGCAACTAATCCCCGGGTGATTTTGGTAATTCATAACAACATATAGCTCATTGAACTAATATCTATTCAAATTTAATATTTCATATAGTTCAATGAATGGCATGTCATGGACTAGAGATGTGTACCCCTTGAAACGCTAAGGACAAATATTGGCAAAATCTCAAGACTCTTCATTTCTATTTTAGTGATCCAAGATCACATTGAGTCCATAGGAAAGCCAATACTATTAAAAGGGGATGAGGTGTTGCTTTATGGTCTACTTGCTCAAAATGCTTTGTGATATTGCTCAAAATACCTCAACCACATTCCCATTCCAAATATGTCCAGAACTCAAAGTCAAACTCGGCCCCACCGAAATATCCTATCTGATGCCACCGAGTTCAGTTGACATAGCCACTGCCAAAACCCTAACTGTTCGGTCACACCGATACGGGTCTCGGCCTCACCGAGATGGCCTTGCATTCTCCCTGTGACATGTTGCACCCTTTCGGTCTCATCGAGTCAGTGCAATCGGTCACACCAAGTTAGCTTGACATTCGCTCTGTTGTCCTATTGCTTCACCTCTATCTCACCGAGTTGATGCAATCGGTGCCACCGAGTTGATGTTTGCCCTAAGCCCTATCACATCGATCACACCGAGTTGTTCCAGTCAGTCCCACCGAGATTCCTAACGTTCACATTTTGAACTAAATTGGTCTCACCGAGTTCTTCTATTCGGTATGACCGAGTTGGGTCAAATGTGTGTAATGGTTGGATTTATGTGGAGGCTACATATACCCCTCCACCGACATCTTCATTTGTGAGAGAGCAGTCAGAACGTGTCTACACTTACACTACTCAATTTCTGAGAGAGAACCACCTACTCATGTGTTGAGACCAAGATATACCAATCCTACCACATGAATCTTTATTTCTAGCCTTCCCCAAGTTGCTTTCCACTCAAATCATCTTTCCACCATATCCAAATCTGTGAGAGAGAGTTGAGTGTTGGGGAGACTATCATTTGAAGCACGAGAGCAAAGAGTTCATCATCATCACACCATCTATTACCTTTTGGAGAGTGGTGTCTCCTAGATTGGTTAGGTGTCTCTTGGGAGCCTCCGACAAGATTGTCGAGTTGAACCATGAAGTTTGTAAGGTCAAGGAGATCGCCTACTTCGTGAAGATTTACCCGAGTGAGGCAAGTCCTTCGTGGGCGATGGCCATGGGGGGATAGACAAGGTTGCTTCTTCGTGGACCCTTCGTGAGTGGAGCCCTCCGTGGACTCGCGCAGCCGTTACCCTTCGTGGGTTGAAGTCTCCATCAACATGGACATACGATAGCACCACCTATTGGAACCACGCCAAAAATCTCTGTGTCTACATTGCGTTTGCACTCTCCAATCCCTTCCCTCTACCTTCATATGGAATGCTTTTACTTTCCACTGATATACTCTTAGAATTGCATGTGTAGGTTGATTACTTGACTTGTACTAGTTGCTAAAATCTCCCAACAACTAAAAGTGGGAAAATGCTACTTTTTTATTTGGTCCACTAGTCTAATCCCCCCCTCTAGACCTACTTTCGATCCTACAAAGAGGTTCGGGGCAACGGATGCCTTGTGATTGGCCTCATTGCTCGCTTCACCAACCGCTTCGATGCCTACTTCCTCCTCGGCAAGGTCTTCTGGCGTGGGTGCGAGTTCATCGCCTTCACCATGTACAACATCTTCACCAACTTCGACCACATCTTCCCCACCGCCAATGGCACGCACACTCTCCCCTACAACACCGACGAGGAGTGAACATGATGGCGGAGGCAGGAGATGTTAAGTGTTGCCCAATGTAGGGCTACGCTATCTGCAAGGGCGCTACTATAAGCCCTAATATTAATATCTATCTATGTAATGTGTGTCTTCCCTATATATAAGGGAATATATCAAGGGATGTTCTGTTCATGCAATTTGCTTGATATTTATATATCTATCTACATAATGTGTGTGTTCTATTGCTTGCAAGTAGCCGTTCATGTGATTGAGATTAGTGCTAACCATTGCAAACATTAGAGTAGCGCCTGCTCGAGCATCTCCATTTTTTTCTTGAACAAAAAGGGCTGAAACTGATTTGTTTTGGTTAAATCAAACCAATCCAGTAACTAATAAATCCCACACTAAAACACGAGCTCGGTCCGTTTGAAAAAAAAATCAAAACTTAAAAAAGTTTAAGAATATTTGGCATTCATTTGAACCGTAAAATTTAAATGTTGCAACAAATATTGGAAAACAGAGAAAAAGAGAGAAAGGAAAAGAACAATCTACACACCTGGCATCCCAGTAGATGGCCAAATTTGAACTTGTGCTAAATCATTCACTATTTCTAGAGTTTACATAAAGTAATTCAAATGTAAACTACAAGTGTGTTGTACTTTATTGCCAAATCCGTCACTATTTCTAGGGTTTTCCGCGAAGAAAGTAACAAAAATATGATAAAAACTGCACAAGTACATTTTTTGCATCTTATTTGTTCCACTCACTTCACACAAAACCCCCTCTTTTTAGAAGTTAGAAATGATTTTATTGTAACACACATTTGGAAACTGCCTATTTTGGAAGCTATATTTTAGTGTTATTTTTTAAATACAATTCTCTGAAAATCATGACGCAAATTAATGAGGTCAAATAAGGAAATTTTGTACTGGAGTTGGACCAATAGGGAATTGATTAGGAATTTCTAATGAAGTCCTATTTATATTAAATATAGATTTAAATAGAAAATACATAGAAAAGCTTCATGATAATTACAAAAATTAGCTATTACATAGGCTTGCATATATGAGGAATTTAGGAACTTGAATCAACTCAACTAGAATATTCTATTAATTTATAAGTTTGACTAGAAATGGAAAAATGTATTCGACACTATTCATGCAGGTTGAACGGGCCAACCCAAGACCTTTTCTTTTTGAGAAAACAGATGACCCACGTGTCGCACGGGCTCAGTCCATGGGCTGTGATGCGACGTCAATGGCGCACTTTTGAGGTCCCACTTGTCAGGACGTCATCCAAGTAACGATCAATGATGGGCTTTAACCCAACGGAATGCTTCGTTTGGGCATTTGAGAGGCTGGGGCCAAGGAAGGAGGGAAAAGTGAGGAACGTTTAGGTGGCAGGGTTAAACTGAGGAGAACTAAGGAACTAGGGGTATGAAAATAGAAATCCCCCTTCTATAAGGCGGGGGCTAGAGGCGTGGGTAGTTATCACTACCTTCAATCTGGAACCCCTCACACGAGGTGTTTCCACCATCAATCAGAAGGTATCACCTCAACCATGAGGGCCCGAACCTGGTAAAAACTTTGTGCGTGATCCCTTTGGGGGTCACACTCTCCACCCCTACCGAGACACTCACGGTTTTAGACATCGTCAATTAGCGTGTAATATTAGTCCCACTAATTTGTCGTCATCAATATCAAATCAACAATTAAATGGCACACTACACTTTCACAAACTTTATTGGGCAGTCATCCATATATTAGCCAAACCCCTGAATTACATGGATAGTTGTGCGACAATATTATTTGTTACTTTTCACAACATTGCAAGTGTAGTATTTACTCATGCCTCCAGATTGCCACAAATTTATCCAAACCCAGCATCCACACATGCCATTGATATGATAACAACTAGACTTTTAAAAGAAACCCTTCATCTCATTCCTGAACTCATTGAGATGCTTTTCCTCCACACACTGGGTCATAACCCGGGTGCCCTTCTTCTGCATTGGTGGAGCACCAAGCACCGCGACCGCCATGTAATGTGCGTAGTTGAATGGTATGATATGGCTAGGGGCGCCCCACCCATAGTCGACCTCAAAGAATCCAAGCCTTGTCCAGTCCGAGACAAATAGCACATTGTGCTCGAACGTCAACTGGTATGGATCAATCTTCACATCCCCTGATGCCCACTTGGCAAACTCCAAAGTTAGCCTTGCCTTCCCGTCCCTAATCATCCTGATCACACCAAGCAGCCCCGCCGTGGCAACATCCTTCGCTGTAGACGTCACGGTAACCGGGTAGAAGCAGTTGCCATAGAAGCCCCCATCCTTTGGGAGAACATGTGTGAGAAGGTGTCTGGTGTTTGCGAAGAAGCATATTTTGACCTCGGCTTCTGGACTGTACTTGATGGCCCGAGTTCGAGCTTGCCAAACCTTTGCAATGGCGACATCGAAAGTTGAGCAGTACTGACCCATTACCTGGAAGTATTCGGCCTTGACATGGGCGATACAGTCCGCGCTGACATCTGTGGCGAAATGCTGGAAGCCGAATGACTGGAATGATGGTGGTGGCCCCTGAGGTAACTTGGGTGGGTTCGGGATTACAGCCCGAGCCCATACAGGAGCCACCGTAGGCCTGTCCAGGCCACGCGCTAACTCAGCAATTGCATTGATGAATTGTGCAGCACCAAGCCCGTCTGCGAGGGTGTGGACCGCTACCAAGCCCACAACAAATCCTCCACAAGTGAATTCGGTCACCTGCTATGCACATAGAGAGTTAGAACGAGAAAGGTATAATGAATACATCTAGTTTGCAAACATTTTGCTCCCAAAAAAAATCTAGTTTGCAAACATGCAACATGTCAACACCCGTGCATGCAACATCGGTTAAAATGACAAGGTAGAAAGTTTGCAATATCAGGCCTGAAACCTTGACATTCGTTATTGTTATTCAGATGAAGTGGTTGTATGGAACTTGAGTCAGTGAAGAGACAAATACAGTCAGGCAGTAGTAGTAGACTACCTAAACCATTGTGACGTGTCGGTGCTTCAGTTGTTAGAAATATGTGGTGCCGGCACTTTCTATCTTCCATTACCAACAACGCGATGTATCCTAAAAAAAGGGATGTGGTACAGTTCCACCTAGTTAGTGTATCATATGTGTTACAGTTCAACCACTCTGATATGTAGTCTTGGTTCATTTGGGAGCTGCACTGCTCTGAGAAATGAATCCATTAGAAATACTGTCTTGAAACAACATCTATATTGCGGAAAAAAAAAGGAAACAACATGTGGTTTCTTGAGGTCTGCCTATTTTTTCTTCCTGACTTCAGACGTCCTGAGCTAATTCATGGCGATGGTTTCTTAATGTGGTGGGCTGCTCTCTCTCCCTGCTTGAAATGTCCATGCCCCCTTTTTTTAGCTTAAAACGTTTACTAATACGGACGAGCATTTGCTTAAGAAAAAACGGACGGAAATTGGCAGCATGAGGTAAATATACTAATACCCGATCCGAATATGTATAAATATATGTTGTTGGTGGCTTGAATAAGTTGATGTTCGCTTACTGCCTTTGATCATCGCAGACAAGAAAATGTGAAATGGATGAAAGATGCGGACTGCGAATGCCTATTGCCTAGTAAACGTTTTCTGCAAGGAGCCTCGAACTCATGTAAATATGATGTACGTACGTATATACCTGCATCATGACCGGAATAGTGGTAGGATCAACACCTTCCTCCGGAGCGGGCAGCAGCTCCTCCTCGCAGACCATGAGCGGGTAGTCCAGGCCGTTCACGTCCTCCAGGCTGCAGCCGGCGGCGGCCTCAACGAACCAAGCGCCGTCGCCGGTGCACGCAACGCAGGCCTCGCCAGCCGCCACCGAGCCCACGAAGCGGCCGGCGAACGCGGGGTACTCCACCAGCGCGCGCGACAGCGCGGCGCGGATCACCTCGGCCGGCCTGGCGCCGTCGGCGCTGCGGTCGCCGTTGCGCCGGAACACGTGCAGAGACCGCACGGTGTGGCGCAGCCCGGGCACGTGGTCGATGGCGGACAGCTCCAGCGTCTCTCCCGACGCCGGCGCGGCCGGCACGACGAACGACTGGGATTTCCTTGCCAGGGTGATTGATGACAACATGGTGGCTACGTGCCCAGTGTCAATGTGTGGTGCGAAATGTGGGTAGTGTGAGCCTTCGAGGCAGCACGGGATGCGTATTTATAAACGCCGAAGTCTGGGCTGGGCTGAATGTACGAGCGGCAACCCATCCAAGCTTGCAAAAGCCCAAAGCAGAGACACAATAGAATAATGGGAGCATCCCTCCCGCACACGCGACGCGACCCAGGCACCAACGAGAGCACCACCGGCGGCACCCACGCTCGGGCACGGGGGCGCACGACACGACGAGAAAAGGACGCCACCTCCTCTCCTCCCCCTCCCCTCGTGGTCTCCTCCTCCGCCCTCCCACACCCAAAAAGCTCTAGGGAAACCCCCACGCGCGCGCCTGGTGCCGGATCGGATCGGGGATGTGGGAGTCGGTGGCGCTCACGCTGGCCGGCGCCGCCGGCAACAGCATCGGCAAGGTCCTCCAGAAGAAGGGCACCCACATCCTCCCGCCCCTCTCCTTCAAGCTCAAGGCACCCCTCCCTCCCTCCCCTTATCCATCCCTTCCGGATGCTGGCGCCGCTCTTTACTTGTTAGATAGATGACGCCGCCCTCTTCGCTCTTGTGCAGGTCATACGGGGCTACGCGCTCAACAGGCTCTGGATCAGCGGCTTCCTCCTGGACATGTGCGGCGCCGCCCTCATGCTCACTGCGCTCTCGCAGGCGCCGGTGCGTTGCCTGCTTCCCCATTCCCTTCTGTTTCTCTTCTCGCCCGATTACGCGCAGTTACTCACTGCCTTATTAGGATGCCGCATGTTGACTGATGCGGCCTTTGTTTTTTTCTCATCAGGTCTCTGTCGTGCAGCCGATTGCCGGCTGCGGCCTCGCCATACTCTGCGTCTTCTCCCATTTTTACCTCAAGGAGGTCATGAATGGCCTTGATTGGCTTGCCATCACAATGGCCGGTCTCGGCACCATAGGTGAGCTACAGTACAGTTACAAGTTCGTCATCATAGTTTTAGTTTTACGTGCAATGGTCACAAGATGGAAATGGATTGGTTAATGGCATTAGGCTAGCATGTATCCATGCACTGACTGGATTTACTCTGCGTTCTGTAACTTCAGGAGTCGGTGTAGGAGGGGAGGAGCAGAAAGTGGAAGAGATTCCCCTTTTCAGTATACCTTGGCTGGTGCTCACCGTTCTCATCTTGTTTGTAGGTACCATACTCTGTGTTGTATTAGTTTTATTACATAGTATGCATTCTACCAAAACAAGTGTAGTTTCTCTTGCACAAACTATTTTGACCATTCTTGCTATAATATTCAAACTCTCACCAACAATTTTAGGCGTGCACCACATGAGTATTACCCTTGTATTTCTATATATAAAAAAATTATGTTTTCTTAACTATTTCTGTGTTATGCCCCCACGAAACTGCTTGCTGGAGTTAGGGAAGTGTTTAGACTGCTCTTTTGTTGGATTAATTCATTCCCGTTTCATTAAAAAACACGTCAATTGGAAAGAACTAATTATATTGTAGGATATTATGGTGGATGATATTATTATAGTGCTGATGGACCCAGATTCTAGCCTGCTACTGATAGCAATTTTGTTTGGTTTATGCCAATTAAGGTTCTGCTCAACACTTGGCTTCATATCTACAAAAAGCAAAGGCGCGAACAAGAGTTGGTGAGCAATTTTTTTTATTTCGGATTCATGTTTCAATATTGCAAATTGACACCTTGCATCAATCCAGACTGGACCTGAAGTGATCGAGGAGGTCATATACGGCTTAGAATCAGGCATTTTGTTTGGGTAATTTATTTTTATCTTTTCCATCTATCACTGTGTTTACAGCCTTATCTACTTAAAGACTTCATTTATTACTTAAACTCAGGCCTTATGTTTACCACTCTGGTTCCCATTTCAATTGATTGAGAGGATTTACTTGGGAGTATACATTTAGGATGAAATAAACAAATGTTACTTCAACCTTTTTTTCTTTTGGTGTACAGTTATGCAGTGACCCAATATGGGAGGATGACTCATAATTCACAACTTATTTCATGTATAGGATTTCATCAGTGATCTCTAAGATGGGATTTGTGATGTCTGAAATGGGCTTTCCGAAGATTGTTGTGCCAGCTGCCATTTCTTGTAGTGTGGCCTGCAGTGCTGTGGGATTTGTTTACCAGGTATGTCTAGTTTACTGGAGATGCGCCTCCCTACTTGTGTGCATCACATAGATGTCCTTTAGTGCGCACTGCAGCCCTGATACTCTGGAGTACACTTCCCTGCTTTTTGTGCGCTCTGGCATTGATGGGGATGTATACAGTGCTTGTATAGTGTTTGTAGAAAACGTAGAGATGTTACTTGCCATCGGTGTTGCATTCGTTAATGATTTATGCACTTGAACAGTGCATTGGAACTATTGAGACTATTGCACTTTGTTAATCTCAACTAATACTGTCGGTGTGCATGCATTTATTGTTTGGCTGTCATACAATCTCTGTCACATCCTTCTGTTTCAAGCAATCTTCAGCTGATTGCATTCCTTTCGTAGAACCTGCACATGTGGGCCATTGTGGGGACATTTAAAGCAGATTTGATTTGTGAACCTGGAAAGCATCAAATTGTTGGAATGGCGTGAGGGATCGTTGCTTCTTGTTGGGGCTCTGTCTTGAGCTGGAAGACGTCCTTGAACAAGGAGAACTGTATCATCCCATTCATCTTTTTCCATGTATGCCACAACTGTTGTGTTACCGGCGATTCCAAGTTTATCTTGCTGTCCATTGTGCCATGGTGGCAGGTGAGCAGTTTCTTTGATGGTCATCAACATGAGTCCCTGCATGGAGGCGTTCTAGAGGTATCTCCGTGCTAAAGAAAAAAGGTTGTTCAGTGTTGATCTATATTCAGGTGGCCACTCAGTCTGTTGGTTAGATACCTCTAGATCACCCCTTGCAAAGACTCACGCCAACAAGGTTTGGAGACTCCACTTGCCGAGTTGCCATTGTACAATGAACGATATGGCCGTCTTGGTATGGACGATAACACAGTAGTTGTGGTGGTAGGAAGATGAATGAGATGGTATACTATTACTTGTTCAAGGACATTGTCCTGCTCTATAGAGACTCATCCCGAAGCAGCCATCTCTCACCTCACTTTAAATGACTCTTTGTTGGATTCACAGACCAAATCCTCTTACTCCCTCCAGATGGGAATATAAGTCTGGCATGGGAACTTAGGTCGTCAATTTAGCTACTGAAGCACGTATAATATGCCTCAAAAAATATATTGCTAGAAACTTCATTCGACGATGAATCTAAAAATATATATTTTTATAACATGCAGCATGTTTTTCGCTAATCAAATTGAAGACCTAAATATCTGTGCGTGACTTATATTCCCATCCAGATGGAGTAGAAAAAATCTGTCAAATTGGCAAACAAGTGCACATATGCTGCACAATGACATTACCTACCGAGGTGCATTAGTTCAAACAATTTATTCATAGTTTTTATGTAGTGTTTCTTGAAAACATGTGCTCGTTAATCAAACTCTTAAGCCAATCTTATGACACCACCATAACATGAATATTAGGGTACCACCATATGGGTGCAAAGAGGAGCGGAGTATTTTTTTCTCGGTGAAGCAGGAACATGGGTGTGACCTTCAATGGAGCCGCATAGTGATGTCACATAATGTTTGCTGATACTACAATTGAGCTATAAATCTTGCTTATTGTAAATCATATCACACTGCTTCCTTTTTGCTGCTGAGACCGATCTTTTTATTCTAAAAAGAGAAACTGATTTTGCAAAAAAAAAATTCCAAAATTTACTAGTACTACTTTATAATCCATTGACATTGATGATCTGCAAAATTTTAAAATTTAGTTGTTTGCAATTTGTTTTCTCAGATTGCACTAATATATTGGACCCATCTTATGAAATATTAGTAAATTTGTTTTCTTATGAAATATCAGTATATTGGACCCATTTTAAAATTTAGTTGTTTGCAATTTGTTTCAACATTTGTCATAAAGACTTATCTAGTTATCTTTCAATGCTTCTGCTCTGGTTTTGCTTTGTATTCCACTAATGAGACATCGCGCTTGTGCAGACTCGAGGTCTCAAGCATGGGAGGGCAATTGTTGTGTCCACGTGTACATCGGTGGCATCTATTGTGTCTGGTGTTGTGGCTGGTATGGTTGCACTTGACGAACATCTGCCGACAGCTCCTGCAGGACGTTTTTTTCTCCTGCTTGGATGGTAATATCTTTATACTACATCGTGTTTTTCTTTCTGTGTTGTGCGCTATTATTGCTTGGATGGTAATATCATTCCCTTCTCCCTGCTTCAGTACTTAGCTACTATAATGTACGTACATTTTTTTTCAATGCCTGCACCTTTAGGGCTGTTGCATTGGCAATGTATCAGATAACCATGATACTGTCTAAGCTATGAATTTTGCCATTGTGATCATGAGGGAGGGCTGCGTGGTGGGGTAGGGGGTACGGCGGTGCAACACTTCACATACATTGTGGACAAAGTGATGATAGGCAATACTGGGGGCGGCAGAGAACCTCTTCTTCTACTATCTCCGTCCCAAAATATAAGACGTCTTTGCAGTTCAATTTGAACTGCAAAAAAGTCTTATATTATGGGACGGAGGTAGTATATGGCAGCATCTCCTTGATAGATCTAGCAGTGGTAGGACCACCCATGTCCAAATCTGGGGATGGTTGTGCATCCGAGGCCAAGAGGCTCCACTGTCGCATTTTACACTTGCAGCACAGCTCTGGGGTTTGTACCAGCTGAGCAGAAGCTGGGAAACAGTCACTGCCTCATGCTGTGGGTAGATCTGGTGAGATGGAGACGAAAGGTTAGCCGCCTACAACCACATGCACCATCTCGTGGAAGGTGCAGAGAGGGAGGCAGCAATGGATAATCTCATGCAGGTCTAAAGTGTGTGAGGTGGCATTAACGTGGGGGAAGGTGACAGTGCTGGAGTAGAGGAAGGGAGGCTTCCAGAG